TCCTTGGTGGTGGTGGGAAGAATTTCTCCTCCCCAACTTGTTCTCTTAAGTGATGACAGGAGCCATATCTCCCCCGCATCCTAATTCTTCACATCTCGGCACTATGGGAGACATTCAAGCCACAACTGGCACAGTGGGTTGATCATCTTTCTGCTATGTTGGCAGATTGTCCGTCATCCAGATTTTACATTTTGCTATGCATCCAAATTATGCATTTTGCTATGCTTCATAATTCAGTCTGATGCTACCACCTTTGGAGTCAACATCAACATTTCTGACCTGACACTTAAAACTTACAACTTAAAAATAATGTCTAATACTGATGTAAACGACTATATAGCCTTGAAAAAGTTAGCATAATCACATCTTTCCGACTCATTCTAAACTGCATGAATAACTTTGGAACAGTTTTCCATGTATGCGTACATGAAACAAAGTAACACCTACATTTACAAAAGACTGGCAGTTAAGTTTATTATATCACTTGCCCTTGTAAAATTATTTATAGCACTTTGAGAAAGCAGACAATTCTCAGAAATACAATTCATATCAGATTGCATTAATCCAATTAGGACTTTGGTTGTGGCCAATAATGGAAAACAAACATAATGAAAATCAGAGATAATATCTCAATTCATAGTTTTCTTGTCTGCAGATTGTTGTGCAGGATCGGGTGGTACAGAATGCCAGTAAAGAACAAAGTCTAAACAAATTACACCAGCAACAAATATGTATCATGTACTATCATGTACTTGCATGTACTATGCAGCAAAAAGCTTGTGTGCTCTACTCTCACAGGAACCCTTCTAGTTTTAGTTTCCCTCCTCTTGTCTTGGCTTCGCTCCTCTCCTCAAACCTTGCTGTATGTGCCTAGAGTGTGAGAGACTGCAGCAGCCAAAGGGATTACAACAACAGCTCCTTTATCCAGCAGCACCACCAAGGAGCGTGAGATCACAACCTGTATGTGTCTGTGTGTGTGTGTGTGTGTGTGTATCTCAGTGAGTTAGACGAAGAGCCTGTAATCACACCTCATCCATTAGATGCTGGCAAGGATGGAATAAAGTGGACATTATGGCATAATCCTGTATCACTCTGTAATTCATGCTGAGTGGTCCAGTCATGATTTGGCTTAATGTATGGAGAGAGATCCGACAAGACACGCCACAAAAGAACCATAAATATGGAGAGCGTAAGAGAAGGCGAGCGACTGAGGGAGAGTTGTTGTCGAGTCCTTCATGCGTTCACATTCCTAAGTACCCTTGGAGTGTGTGTGTGTTTGTGACTGTGTGTGTGTGAAATACACCCTTCCACAGGTGCTTGCTGTAAGGGGCTTTGACCGGAGGCTTGAGTTTCCAAAACATGGGCTTCCACCAATACACAAGGGAGTGTATGCATGTGTTTCTGCCAGCCCTTCATCAACTTGTAAGAGTCTTTTTCACCAGAAAAGACATACGTATGCAGTGTGTGTGTGTGTGTGTGTGTGTGTGTGTGTGTGTGTTACTGTCCAAATAAAGTCAGACAAGGTGGCCTTGAAATAACAATAATATGCTGTTGAGAAGAGAAAGGGTTCCAGGTTTGCTTAGAGGGCAGCAGCCATGGATCTACTCAGTCACACACGTATGCATAATTCCCACACACCCACTGGGTAAACACTTAAGAGTAATTATGACTGAGTGTAAAGTGTGCCACTCTGACAGCAATAACTATTTTCTTGTGATGTGCATCTAATTACAATCATCAATTGCTGTTTTTATAATTGTTGTGAAAAGCTCGGTACTAATCATTGTAATGAAAGTCAATGTTTTCACAATGACAGATAAAACTTTGTGATTACTGGTATCTGTGAAGAATTAATGTAATCTGTAATAGCGTGCAAAAGCACAGGTTTCACTTATGACTTTAACTGTTGGCTCAATTCCAATCAAGCATCTCAGCCGACTAGCAGGGCTCTAGAATTGGCACACATACATGGAGAGCAGCTATTAATCATGTCATTAATTACATCCTGCTATGGCATGTTAAAACATCTATATGACTCAGAACTAATGACAGCAGAAAAAAACTAAAAAATGTGTTGGCAACCGCAGAAAGGCTTCACCTGTTTCATCCGCCAAAGAGGAAGCGCTTTTGTCTGGGTGACAGAAAGGAGTAACAGCTACACAACAGACTGTTGTTGTGCCTTGACACCCCTTATTTTATGCCTACGGTGTAGAATTGTGATAGAATCTGAATTGTAAGTCGCTTTGGATAAAAGCTTGTGCTAAATGACTGTAATGTAATGTAATGTAATGTAACAAAGCCGAAGGAAAACCAACCAGACTTAAACTTAAAAAATAATACCATACCAACCAGCAGCTTAGTAAATCTCACATGGCATTGTCAAAGCAGATTACTTCAAGTGCTCTAATTGCAACACATAGAGACAAACAATATAACAATCAAGACCCGAGTGCACCTTAACGACCGCATCATATTCAGTATTAATGACCAGGATATTTATTGTCATTCATCGGCCACGGTCGGTGGATGGGTAGCTTACCTTGACTTGCTGGGGAGATTTTAGAACATTACATTCATGTGACAGTGTGACATTTCCCGATTTTTTATTATGTTCCAGCTGCTCAGTGAACACAGAGCAGTTCCTTCTCCTGCTGTTTTAGCTAGCTTCATTTAACAACACAAATCAACATGTTGATTATATAACTTGGTAGCTGCCATTTATTTTATTTCCCCGCAAAGCCGGAATACTTATGAACCTGGATTCCTGGTCAACAGGGAGCTCACACCGCAGACAAACATTTTCAAACACGTGTCAAAGGTCAACCCCGCCCACACGGATCCTCCAGACTTTTAATTGGCTAGATACTTCTTCAGAAAACCAATCATATTCGCAATCATTAAAAAGATACAAACATAGAAAGTAGTGTAAGGTAACTAAGTACATTTCCTCAATTACTATAGGCTACACTCAATTGTAGGCCGACTGTAGTCTAACGTTTCTTTATTTACATTTTAAGGTTCTTTATACTTCTTCTCACTACATTTATTTGATAACGTTATAACTTTGCATATTCAGATAATTAATACAAAATATAAATAAACCAATAAATGATGATGTAATATTATGGATTAAAAAAAATGTATCCCACCTTCAGCAGTTGCAGAATTAAAGTAACACACTAATGCATGAATATCTGCAGTTGGTAATTTATAAGGATTCTTAAATGGGCCTCATTTACACTGTGGTATTATTAACCAAAGGTTCAGAGTACTTCTTACACCTCTGCATAGAGTAACAAATCCCTATTTGATTGGGTAGGCCTGTAGTCAATCTGGCAAGGCCTTGGCCACACGCCTGACACACACACACACACACACACACACACACACAGACGCTCTTAGACAAACAGAGTGAGACAGAAAGGGGCAAATGACCAGACTCAATAGTTTACTCCTCTCAGACTGCTGAGATTTGGACCAGACAGGCAAAGTCTCACACACACACACACACACACACACACACACACACACACAGACAGGCAGATAAATATAAAGCATATGAAAATTACCTTCGAAAGACGTGAGACTTGTTGCCCCTCTGAATCTGTATCACAGTATTTCTACACACATGCTATTTTAACCCATACCTTTCCTACTCACGTAAAGCCTTTCAGTCAGCCTCTCGTGAGTTTCAGAGACACACTGGGCAAGCTTCTGCAGCATCAGTAGAGGAAAGAGAGACACAATTGCATCATTCTAACATGACAGGCCACACATACTGTACATGCATAGATAGTGAGAGAGAGAGCGACAGACACGGTTCATTAACGCTCCCTGTTTGAACAGGTGTCTGCCTGACAAGCATGGGTGTGTGTGTGTGTGTGTGTGTGTGTCTGTAGAGGCTGAGGTGGTGGAGCTGTCACTCCTCACCACACTTTGTAAAAGCAGTAAACTTTCTGCTCTGAAACTGATGCGTCCACAGATTCTAACTAAAGGATGTTGTTTGTGTAGTCCTATAGGGAGACCATGGGCAGGAAATCCTTTTTTTGATTTGAAAACATATTTTCCGTACATGAAACAATCAGTTAATCGGTTCACAACTTCAGCCTGGTGCAGCCGGCCAACCTTGTCATACGCAGTTGATTTCTATTTCCAGACATCCTCACGAGTAGAGTTATGAAATGTCATTTTGTACAAAGATGAAAACATTAATGCAATATTCTAAGGATGATACTTTCAAATGTGACCGACTCTGGTCAAATGATGTTGTGGACTCATAGCATTGACAGGTGATGGAGGTACATTCAGAAAACGCATGTATCATATTTGTGTCTGCATGCATATCAACCTTAAGCATGGATCATGAATTTATGATCATGACAGTTAAAGAGTCCTTACAGCTTTTTTTTTTAGAGATATGCATGACTCAAACACAATTTTTTTTTTATTACAATTCCAATCACCTCTGATGCTTCTCTAATCTCAGAGTCTAGATCTTGGTTTGAATTTTCTATCTTTTCTAGGCTCTAATGAAGTTTTTCAATAGCCAATCCATCTTTCAGTCCATTATTTACTTTCAACGGTTATCAAAGTTTACTTTATCAGGCATCATTTGCTGAAATTCACAGCTTTACTCCTCTGTCTGTTTGTGTGCAGGTGGTGTCCACAGGTTCAAATTGTGTTTTCAGTCTTCAGGGTCAAAGTTGAAATCTGCACCTGTGTTCAAGACTAAACAACTGTACTTGCCTCAAACTAAACATAAATACCTGAAAACAGACAAACTCACCATGTGTTTCAGTACAGATGTGGCTTAGGGCATCCATCCCGTTGGTTTCCATTCACCAGGAAAACAAAGACCTAAGAACCTTTATATACACACACCCAGATTATGACAATGTGGACTTGTTGTTTCTGCAACGACTGGTGAATAGGCATAACTTGTCTCAGTCATCTTGCCGGAGCAAAGTATTCAGAGACACTTAAAGAAATCAAAACATGGCTCCCATCATTTATGAGCAGTGAGTAGAGCCCCACTGCTCAGTCTTTATTCAACGAGTGCAATTCAGTGTCAGAAACAATCAGACATCAATCAATAAGAATGACAGCTTCCATTTATGTGTACTCAATGAGGGTAAAGATACAGATCTGGTGGTATACTGAACTCCTTTTGGGCACAGAACAATGAACACAACCTTTGAGGTCAAGCACAGATATCGAGTAGTTCACAAGCTGAAAACAGGCTGAAAGCTTCAGTTAATGCACAGAAATGGCCGTTTTAATGCTGCCCTGGTTTGCTCTGCCAAACATATACACAAGGCATTAATGGTGTGTATTTGGATGATCCAAGGGTGGATTAAACACATACATGGGGGGGGAGAATAAAAGGGAAAGTTTAAAGCAATTCAATTGCTGGAAATAAAATACAATTTAAGGAATCAAAATCATTAAAAATAAATTAAACACACTAATCAGACACACTGAATATTTGTATTTTCTGCCCAATTATATTATAGGGAACAATCTTGGACTTCGACATTTGAAAGAGGGAAAAATATGATAATTATTCATTTAACTGCCAATAGCAAAAGAAAAAAGGGACCCCAACTCAGGTCAATAGTCTTTTTTTGTTAAATAATTACTTTAAATCATCAAATACTACTGGACTATATTTACAGTTTTAATGATTTAATTGATTTCAATTAACCAAGATATAAAAGATGGTCTTATCTTTTGCCTTGTTGGAAGGGTTTCATTGCACCTCAGCAGAGGCATCTGGAAACTGATCCATGACAGGAAATGAATGTGTGCAACAACATGTTGTCAGCTGTGGTTAACTTGCTTTTGATTCTAAATGGCTTAAATACTATTAAATTTCATCAAAGACGGAATGCCTGTGTGTAGCCCAATCTAGTAAGTGAACCTGTCTTGGATTACTGGAAGAATAGTATGTGATATATTAAAAAAGGGCTGTATTGATTAATCCAGAGAGGGTTTTAATGTCATGGCTTGGATGGGCAGAAAAAACTGGTCCTAGGACAGCAAAGCTTCTGAATCTACAAGAGTTAACAAAGTAACACTACTGCCCTCTGCTGACTACCTTTCCAACTCAAAACTTGTGCGTTCTTGACATTTACCCTCAGCTTGGATAAACGTAGTGGTCACTAGAATAGCTTCAAAGAATAAATCTTGAAGGATGAACTACTTCTATAACACTGTGTAAATATGTTCTTATAGAGGAGAAAACAACATAACTCAAACCACACCTAGTCTTGAATTATCTTGGCAGAAATGTAACCGCTCAAGCAGTCTTTGAAGAGGTCTTTCTTATCTGCTATGTCTGAAAAGCATGGGACAACTGAGCTGGATTTTAGTCAGACTCTATGTGCGTATTGACTTCATCTTCTCCTCACAGGGAGGCCAGAACATTATTAGAGGAGAATGAACAAAGGAGAAATCTAGATCTCAGCCTCCATGTGCTGCGTTTTCCTCTTGTTGTGCTGGTGCTTGGTGAGTCCATACTTGAAGAACTCATAGACAGACCAGCTGATGGCTGTGGAGGGCATCTGGTAGATGATCCTCGCCTGGACTCCCCTGAAGAAGCCCTTCAGGCCGCCCAGCCTGTAAACAGTCCTGAAGGCGTGGGCAAGGCCCGAGATGTGTCTGTGGGCTCCTGGGCCTTGGCTCTGACCGGGGCCTTGGCCAGAAGACAGGGAGCTGAGGGCTAGAGACTCCTGGGTGTTGAGCAGGGTCTTGCAGACGTCCAGAGGCGTGGTGGTCGCAGCCGCGATGGCACCAGCCAAAGCTCCGGACAACATGTGGGACGAGGGATTGTACTGTCTGTGGGGGTTGAGCAGCTCCTGAAGATACTCATAGGTCATGAAGTGGAGCGCCTGGAAGGGCACGTTCATGGTGAGCTGGGTGGTGTAGCTGCGGTAGAACGCAGCGGGGCCCTCTTTCTGCCACACGGCGCGTATACAGTCCATCACGCCGCGGTAAGGCGAATTATACATCTGCATGCGCTGCTTCACAACTAGGGCCAGACGGGTAGATGTATTGATGGAGGAGAAGGGTGTCCAGGGTTGGTAGAATGAAGATGGCAAAGATAGAAAAAGAAAAGGAAGGAATTAGTGAGCTAATGCCGACTGTAAATTAGTGCTTAAAACACATGAAGTTTCAATAAACACACTTCAAGAGCATTTGCTCAGACAGCTGCACCCCATCTAACAGCTGCACACGAGGACTATGACCAGTGTCCTTCGACTGAAATGTTTGGGCAGGTGGACTAGAGGCAGCTGTGAAAGTCAATATGTGAGACTGCAGGGTTAAGGCCAACATGGGAAGATGGCTGCAAGTGTCTTCACTGAACTGTCTGTACTTTGGTTTTGAGAGAGAAAATGTCAGAATTCTGGGGTGAAAGGCAAATGGCGCCGTACTGTAAAAATGTTGCCCTTACCTTCAGTTGGGTTCATGACAGCATCGTGAAGCAGTGTGGCCACACACCCAGCTGTTCCTGAAACAAATACACACAGGGAATTACTACACTTTTAGATAATGATGGAGAATACAGAAGGAAAATAGAGAAGACTGCACCGTAGTAAAGAGACATTATTCCTAAAAGCTGCAGATGTCATGCTCAAAGCAAGATATCTTAGCAGAATTGGTGCATATTCAGCAATTTGAGCAGGTGTAAACTGGAGAACAGGCCTGACTGATATCAGGTGGCCAAACCTGAGCAAAGAGAGACACCTGGTGGACAAGGCAGTTCATTGCTCTTTCGTGAGATACAATTAAAACCCAAAAAGCTTTAAAAGACGGGACCAACAGAGGAGAGAGAAGATGAGTCGGGAGAAAGAGGACTTACCCAGCCTCCCACTAAACTGGAAAAGAAGGAAGAGAGAGAGTAGGGAGAACAAGGAATAGGGAAATGGTTGACATTCAGAGCAAATTGAATCTTTGGTTCAATCTCTTTCTATTTTGCATCCAAGGTGACAACAGATCAACAGCTGATCCTGGCACTTCCTAACAATGTACAACTGGAGCTATGAAAAGCCTCTATTCAATTTGACGGCCTGCCAGGGGTTTTTAGAACTGCTTGGGGCATGTCTGCCCTATACACGGATTAGGCCGAGTCAGCAGCTTTTATAGAGATCCCACTGAAGGTGCCTGGCATTAGGGTTCTCAAAGTTAAGATAGCCATACATGATCTGTACATCTACAGTACATGTCATGGTTAATGTGTGCATATGTATGTTTTATGGTACCATTAGCCAAATGACTGTTAGCCCCTGGGTGAATGACATCACTTAGAGTCTTTTTGAGTTTCTCATAGCTGGCAAAATAGAGGGCATGGGCAGGCCCTGCCCCAACTGCGGTTGCATTCAGCCCTCGCATTGGTCGCCAGACTCCCTCTGTGGCAACAATTCGTCGGAGAGCATCCATCACGTTCCTGTAGCGGGCTGCGGGGTCGGGCTGGAGGCTCTGCATGCGTGTCTGAAAAGAGTAAAAAAGGTGGAATGTAGCAAAGTTCAAAGTCAACAGTGGGCTCTCCTCCCATCCCCCAGGCCTAGGTGTTACATTTAGGAATATGTTCACTGAAAATTATAATGTAATTCATAATTTAATTCTGACCATATGTCTTCCTAAGATTGCCAAGAATAGCACAATGAAAAGAGTCCCGAATAGACTGCAGTGTGAATAAGGGGTCAAATAAGGGAAATTCGACATTATGTGCGGTGTACATGGATAATTGAATAGAAGGAAGTATGGAGTTACAACTCCAAGGTCACAAGGGGACATAAGCTGACTTCCTGTAAGCCTCTTTCGTCACTGACCCCGAGGCACACCTTTCTCTCTTCCTCTTAACACACACACATGCACACTGAGATTAATGATAAGATCATACTAACATTCCCTAGAGGACAAGTGCAAGGGATCAGTGTTTCAGTCACCTGCCATTTGGTTTTTCAGAGAGGGTTGCTGGGGTTACACTGGGTGAGTGTGTCTGTCTCTGGTATTCAGAGATTGTGTCGCTGCCATTTCCTCAAACGCCTGTGTATGTGCATGCATGCTATATCAAAGCCATGGCCTCATGTCACTCTATACTACAGCTGTGTAATGCAGGGCCCAAAGAGGGCTAGCTAACAGAGGTACGAGTACATGCATAGGCATGTCTCGTTGCATGGCGGTAAAGAAAAGAGAATTGTTATTGGAATACTGGCTTCCTTATTAATTGATGCCCCCAACAAATGCATGCATGGACGTCTTGCATGGAACAGCTATTGGTCAGATGTGTTTACCTGTCCTATGGAATGTTTGCACATCTAGAAAGCAATGACCTTTGTGCTTAATGCAAAACACTGCAACTACCACTATTTGGAGGGAGCACTGAATTCTTCTTAGTTTCTTTTAATGACAAATTCAATACAATTGAAATTCCAGTCATGTGCTCTGTGCAGTACAACTCTGGCAGACCTACAAATGCAACACGCTTTTTGAAATCCACAACCAATTACTGGGATTTAGGAAACATTAAGGGCAAATGACAGCCTATTCTAAACTATAATTACACAACAATCTCTTAAGTGAGAGGCTTATCGTACAGGAGGGAAAGGCTTTATTTTTGTGTAGGGGGGGAAACGGCTATAAATAGCAAACCTAAATTTAAAAAAAGGAATATGTTCTCTGCATCAATGTGTGGCTGTTTATGAGCAGTAGACTACATTATGCTGAGTCACAATGCCCCCAATCTCCCACTGCATGCTGGGAAAGATGCTGAGATGCAATAGCGATGTAGCAGGGTTCTGTACACATTGGTCTTGTCCAGGTTCAGGGCTGCACAGGCTCCAACAGATAGACTACATGTGTAAGAGACATTGATGATGTACAGCTTTACAGTCCGACATTGACAGCTGACTATACTAAGCTCATCGCCACTTGCCTCATCTCAACCCTTTGCCCGTGTTATACAACGATCACTGCTGCATTCAGCTGAGTGACCTCCTGGAGCAATAGGTCGTGCCTCTATAGCTGTGTTTACGTTGAAAACAAAATAAACTCACACATAACAAAGAAGACCACATGATATGAACTGTCCCTGTGCAGTTGCATGACTCGCATGTGATCAAAAGACCTTTGCAAAGAATTAGTTATAGTGTGTTAAGCAGCAAGCCTGTTCTCACAGTGTATACAACTAACAAAGTAGCAACAGATGCTGGACTTGAAGGGCCAAATGGTCTCAAAACTCTTTCGGTGTGTCTGGTAATAATAGTGGCAGGCTAAGATACTAGAAACAACAACATTTAACAGCGACTATGGCTTTGGTCTCCCAGAACTAGAATTGATAACTTGTTCCTCTTATTAATGCTACTTGAAATAGTTACATAACTAACGGATTTGCTTACACATAACCATACACATTAATTACCTACGCACTATCATATCCGTTGAGGCTTTGACAGCAGATTGATTTGAGGACGTTAGTTTCACGTAAAGTGACTCCTAGGTTTGACCCAGCTACATGTTGTCATAACCCTCGTCAGCAGCTACCGTTAGTCGCGCTTAACGTATTATATAGCATGCTAACACGTTAGCTAGCAGGGATGTGAAACGCTAACTGCGCCGGCTGACCTTGTCACAGCCGTCAGCTCTGCAGCGTGTTTAGGTTAGCGAGCAAGCTAATGCGATATGCTAACAAACACGTTGGCTGCACGAATAACACACGCAGAAACACAACAGAGACGCGAGTGCACTGAACATTCATACAATGGTCATGGATTCAGCTTGTTAGCCACTGAGCAACGCTACCTTGACACAGTCGATGGGGAACATGAGGCAATGCTCCATGATCCCGGCCACGGCTCCAGCCAACATGTGGGTGCTAGTGGAAGCTCCCTGTGGCAAACCCTCATAGTCTGGTTCAGTGTCCTCTGGTTGTGCATCTTGTGCACTACGGATGAAATCAACAGTCTGTAGCTCCGTTTCCCCTCCGATCCGGGGTGTCAGGCTTCCCACGATACTTTCCGAAACTCCCCAGAATCTGCCCCCCAGCCATCGAACTTCTGCCCCGGCAGATGCACCAGCAACCCCGGGATCATTGCCTGTAGTCTCCGCTGTCATCCGACGCTTCCTCACAAATCCATCTGCTTCCATGAGAAACCACGTAAAAAGTATTTAGGCAAGCAGACACTACGTCTTGTGGGTGGTTTCAGTCCTAAAGTTTCACATTCCCGTGGAGTGGTATTACAGCGTCCTGCCTGCTACACCATTCCCTCCCCGCCTCTTTACTTCCCAGCCAGGGCCAAGCAAGGGAGGCCGTGGCGGACAAATACACACAGAGCTGCACAGCAGGCCGCGATGAGGAAATGATCTCTGATTGGTTACTACAGAGAAGTCTATTCTACTACTTCCGCTATTGGATGACAGACGTGTCATTCATGATTGAACCCTGTGGTGTGAAAGTTGACATGGAGTACTGCTACACTTTGAGTACATCTGTGAAAGCTATCATAACCTGTAGGTCACTGCAGGTCATTCTAGAAGCCTGCAGTTAAATTTGTTTACACTTGAGTTGTCACTTAGTGCTGCTCTTCTAGTCTCATTCACAGTGTTGTGAACTACTGCTTTAAGCCATCTTTACGTATCTTTGACACTCACATTTTTAGTTCCATAATGGAGCCCCCATGAAACCCAAACTGAAATCTCTGCACCAGAAAACTGAATTTGCTGTGATGCTAGTTTGGAGTTACATTTCTGTCTGTGATTCGGCCCACTGATTTTCACACCAACAATATTTCTCATCCTGTTTTCCTCTATCAGTGATACGCAAAGTATTTTAACTGGTTCGCTTATTTTGGAATGACAAAACTTCAAATGTGCATTTTTTTATTACATTTTTTACAAATGTATAATAAGAATTTGTTCAGAATAAGAAAAATAATTATTCCAGTTATTGAGCTTCTACCTTCTCAATTCATTATTATCTGTATACATATGTATATATATTTACACACATACATTTATATATATATATATATATATACGTATATATACACACATACATACATATACATACGTATATGTATAATAACAACGATAACCATTTCTGATGACATAATGTATGACTAGGCTAACTTATGCCACATCAAATGAAAAACATTATGTGTAAAGATGATTAAACAAATAGCACGTAATGTTTGACTTGACAATCTTAGTATCACAATAAAATATAATGATCTGGTTTGGATCAGTGTCGGGCTGCATCATTACAATTACTTTCATTCTCATTTTGTCTGTCAATATGTTTTTCATTTAGGGTTTGGACTATAAAATCTAAGAAAAAGGCCCATCACCAATGAACCAGCAATTTTGGGAAAAAATACATTTCTCCACATCACACTAAAAAGTATGGACATTAAACATGAATGAATATTGGCTTTTTCTAGTGCTTCAGACCTTCAAATAGATTCCCTCCATTGAGACTACTGAAGTACTATTACACACGGACACATTATTCTCACAAGCACTTTGCAACTAAAATCATTTTCTCTTATTTGTAATTTAACTTTTTCTTCAGGAAACATGACGTAGTCAATTCTTCAAAGTCTGTACAGTGTCTTTTTATATTAATTTAATTCCCCCCCTGAGCAAATGGATACTACCCCTTGATATAAAACCAAGTGGGGTATTCTAGGCACAACTTCACCTACTTCAAGCTGCACGGAGAAGGGAAGAATTCTGAAGAGGTCAAAACTCCAGCAACACTTGTAGTATATAAACAACTTTATTGTAAGACCAACGCATTTCGGCTTGTGGCCTTCATCGGGGTCAGATAAATGCACAGAAGATGTCCTTAGTGCTATAGGAAGACACTCACCAATTCTTTTCTCCCACCTTCTATGCTCTGCTATGAGAGCTGAAAGCTCCAAGGCTAACATCTTCACCAATGAACCTCTCTGTCTGGAGGAGAGAGATTTTTATTTTTATTTTTTTTTTCAGAAAATGAGGTAATTGTGTTTTGGTGCGGCACTGTTATAACATAATTTAATTTTCTCCTTTATTGCCTAGGAGAGCCTTCAAGGGCTGTAGTGTTGAATTTCTGCCGACAAAGGGAAATGAAGTGTTAATTTCTGCTTACAAGAACAAAATCTCCTGCTTCTGATCTAGTTATGGTTGATTGGCTGCTGTCCGCAGACGTTCCTTAAAGGAAAACCAAGCAGACAGCATATCAGGATAATTTCTCTTCCCTGAAACTAATGCTACTCTAATACACCAAGGGAGAGGTCTGTTAGGTCTAGCAGGAAACTCTAGATCAACATAACACCTCATTTTATTCCCTCCGCCAAGAGAGTGCACAATCTAATACAGGCCTCAGGAATTATTTTACACTGTCTAAGCAAAACATAGTCAAAAATCCACATTATATAGACGAGATGAGGAGATAACTGGATCCTGTTCTGCTGTGTTTGGTCGTTTTTGTATCAATTAATACCTTCTTTCCTTAGATCCCAATAGTCAAGCTCCTTCTGTGTATACTCCCTGGACTGCTGCTCAGGCCCACAGATGATCTATGGCCTCTTATCTTATTAATGCATGCTAAGTGAACCACTAGGCCAATATGACATCTTCAAAAGCAGCACTAAGAAACCATTCTTGGTTAAGAGCTCATCTTAAAACTCTTAAGGTGGGCCCTTACTGTGAGATGACTTGAGTCTAACCCCAAACCAGCTGAGAGAGAACGTCTTGAACTGCACCTTTTGATTATTATAATTTTCTTCCCATATATTTTGATATATGTATATTATAAACAAACATCTTCACAAAAAAGTCACATGTATTCTGTGGAGTTTCACATGCAAACATTTTGGTCCCATTGTATTCTGACATCTTATGTTACATATATTTACATCCCCAGGATCTACAAAGAGTAAAATAAGAAAGTCTGGAAGTCATTACAGTCATTGAGGTATTTTTGTTCATAAATTGATTGCCCATCTCTTCAGCCATATTTCACACACGCACACACAAAATACAAATATATATGTGAAATGAGTAAATACGAATTTACTAAAATGTGTAACGTCATTACTGAAAGCGAATGATGCAACTTTTAAGTTTTGTATGAGCTGTTTGTGGAAATCCATGACGGGGCTCTGGAGCTGGATTAAATAGAACAACTGTGCCACCAAGTGGACATCTTAATGATGACAGGCAGATGGATGGATCGATACAGTAGATAGATAGAGTTAGTCAGATAGATAGCATGGTAATCCAACACATGTGACAGTGTAAAACTTCACTGAGGGCCTCCTGTTTCTGAAAAATGAAGAAAATGAAAACTGTCCCTCTGGTTTATTCATTTGAACAATAAACACAGAGGAAAGAAGTTAAGGATGAAAAGATAAAGAAAAAGGGTGAGTGGGCATGTGTGGACCCTCAAGTCCAGCCACTGTAAGGAGTGTGGTGGTTCACAGTCTTGATCTCAAGTAAAACCCCGGATCTACGTAACTCAAGTTCAGCAGAAAACTGCGGCCAAGGCAGCCTCTACTTCGAAAAACAGTCAAGCAGCCCCCACATTGTTTTAAGGGACGCGTATATACTAGGCATTACGGTAAGTGCGTTTAAGAACTGACTTCAAAATAAGAGCAACGTTCTGGTGAAAATGATAGGACATGTCACATTTATTCAATATATCAGTCAATAAGTCTGTCAATAATATA